CCTGCACCCCACCTGGGAGAAGTACACTTGACTCACACCTAACTCTGGGGAAGGTGGATTTTCCCAACTGGCCATTTGGGTTTGTGACCCCCCCCCCCCCCCCCCACCGCCAGGCAGTGTTCCAAACACTTAATCTGCCCATAACTGCACAGATTCCAGGGATCTGTGGTAGGACCACAGATTCATGTTTAACAGGCATGTGCCTTCTGGACCATGTTCTGAGAAGTGTTCTCTGCTGCCTCCTTCATCAGACTAGGAACTCCTTGAGGCCAGAATGAATGAATGAATGAGCCAAGACATATTCTCTGCCTTGCAGAAGGGGCTGGGGACCCTCCCAGGCCTCTCTGGTCCGGCCAAACCTGCAGGGGCCCAGAGGTGGTGTGGGGGCATGGCTTGAAGGAGGTGGGCATTAGTACCAGGGTGTTGGGGCATCATTAGGAGTTTGCCAGCTGGAGAAAGTATGGGATCACGTCCTAGTGGATGGGGCCAAGGCAGGGAGGAGGCTGGAGCTGAGGGCCAAGCTGAGAGCCCAGCTGGCCACTGGGATATGATTAATCCCTGATCAGCCTGGCTGGGTGGTCTTGGACTCACTGCCATGTGCCCTGGCTCCTTCTAGAACCTCCTCTGGGTTCTGGGAGGAGGACAGACTTCAAAAATTGCATGGCCTGGGCATAAGGTCCAGGTCACCCGCCCCCCCTTCCCCCCCCCATCCCCAATCTCATCTGGCCTTGGGGAAGGCAACTCAGTTCTCCCACTTCCGTTCCAGCTTGTGAAGCCACCCAGGGGGAGTGTTTCCAGATGTGTGTGTGGGCAGGCAGCTTGGGAGGTGCCCAGGTGCGGCCCACATGCCCTGGCAGGGGTGACATGGGGGCGCCAGCTCACCCGCTCATTTATGCTCATGCTCCGCCAGTCGGCCTCACCTTATGCACAGGGAAACTGAGGCTGAACTCAAGAGTCTGCCCTCCAGGCCCACAAGCAACAGAGCTGGGGGGGGTCCATCTGGGGTCTGGCCTGGAGTTTTTGTGCTGAGGAGCCCCTGGTTCTCCTCCGCTCACAGCTGTGATGAGGCCTCAGTTTCCCCTTTTTGTAAAATGCTGACAAAATGGCATCACCTCGTGGCGGAGTGGTTGGGAGATTGCAATGAGCCTGGGAGGGCCTGTAAGATGAGCAGCTCATTAATGGGTCTGGGTCTGGGTCTGAGTCTGATCTGCGTTTCCCAAGGTCCCGGGAGGGGGGTGGCAGGGGGGAGACCCCAGAGAGAATTGCCCTGGTCAGGCCTGTTTCCCTGCCTGAGAAATAGGACTGGGGGGACAGGGGTAACCCCTGATTCAGGGTGCTCGGGATGTGGGAATCCCCCTCCCCAGGAAATGAGCCTCAGGGCCTAGTGCCAACGCCCCGCCCTCCCCGACGCCTCCTCCGGGTTGGTCCTGGCAGGCAGACGCTGCTCGTCCTCCCCAGACCGGCGCAAGGACGGGGTGGGGCCCCCCTCCGCTGACGCAGCCGGGCCCCCCGCCGGCCTTCCCTTCACGGCGCGTAAATCAGGGAACAGACGCCAGCCCGAGCGGGTGGCCCAGCTGCGGAGCGACAGCGGGCCCGGGCCCTGGAAGCTTGTTCCTGAACCCCTAGATTCCGGGCAGACACCCCCCTTCCCGCTCACTCTGAGCCCCGCCTCCAGACGGAGCCCCAGCCTCGACTCCCGGCCCACCGGGCGCGGGGCTGATCTCGTCCCCAACAGATCCCGCACCCAGACTCCGAACCAGTCGCCCTCGCCCGTGTTCCCCGACTCCCGACCGCCCCCCACTCAGCGCGGCCGCTAGCCTCAGAACAGGGGGCGGGGGCGCCGTGGGCTCCGCGGACCTCCGGCCTCGGCCACGCGCCCCCCCCCACGCGCGCGTGCTCTGTGTCCGCAGATTCGTGCGAGGGCGTGGAGTGCGGCCCCGGCAAGGCGTGCCGCATGCAGGGGGGCCGCCCGCGCTGCGAGTGCGCGCCCGACTGCGCGGGGCTCCCGGCGCGCCTGCAGGTCTGCGGCTCAGACGGCGCCACCTACCGCGACGAGTGCGAGCTGCGCGCCGCGCGCTGCCGCGGCCACCCGGACCTGCGCGTCATGTACCCGGGACGCTGCCGCAGTACGTGGGGGCGGGGCCGGGGCGGGCGGGGGCGGGGCCTACCAACTAGACTCCCGAGAGGGCGCCGCTGGATTGGGTCAGCTGTGGGGTCGGAATGAGGAAAAGCGGGGTGGGGTTTTGGAAAGGGAGGTCTGGGGCTCACGTGGCGTGAGAGATAGGGGTGCGTGACTCAGGGCGGGGCTTGCGGGTGCAGCCCGAGGGGCGGGGCCTGGGTGTGGAACGGGTGCGGGCGGGGCGCGCGGAAGAGGGGCGGCTTCCGGCGCGGCCGGGGGCGGGGCCTGAGGGTGGGACCTGCCGGACCGCGCCCCTGACCCGCCCCGGCGCCTCGCTCGCAGAGTCCTGCGCGCACGTCCTGTGCCCGCGTCCGCAGTCGTGCGTGGTGGACCAGACGGGCAGTGCTCACTGCGTGGTGTGTCGCGCGGCGCCCTGCCCCGCGCCCTCCAGTCCCGGCCAGGAGCTCTGCGGCAACAACAACGTCACCTACATGTCCTCGTGCCACCTCCGCCAGGCCACCTGCTTCCTGGGCCGCTCTATCGGCGTGCGCCACCCGGGCAGCTGTGCAGGTGCGGCGCGGAGCGGGGAGCAGCGGCGGGGTCTAGCGTCCCGCCCCTCTCCGCGCCCCCATTTCTCTTTTCGTCCCTCCCACTCTCCAGGCACCCCTGAGCCGTCAGATGCAGAGTCGGAGGAGGAGGAGGAGAACTTCGTGTGAGCCTGTGGGGCCGGCTTGGGCCTGGCGTTCAAGGCCTCCCCGTTTTATTTATTGCCACAGCCGAATCTAATTTATGTCCCATGGACGCTTCCCAGAGGCTGGACCGGGACCACCTGGGGCGGGGGGGGGGGCCGGGAGCCCCCTGACAATATCTTGGAAGGATTTGGGGGGAGGAGTCCTGGGAGTGTGGCTGGTGGGTGGGGCTCCCACCGCAGGCACCGTGCTGCCCAGGAGGACCCCATGCTGCTTCTGCTCTAGGGGATAACTTAATTATCACCACCACCGAGAGGGTTGGGGATTCACCCCTGCCGGCAATTAATGGAGAAGCACCCTGGCCTTCTAGACTACAGACTGGGAGTGAGGAAGGGGTCCACGGCCTGGGTGTGTATAAATGAGCCTCAGAACCTACCCAGGCCTCAGATAGACCAAGGAAGCAGCCACTGTCCCCAACCAGCTCAAGAACTCCAGGGTTTACCTTCCCTCCTGCTCCCATTTCCTTAGTATGTCCTGTGGTGGCCCCTTAGAAAAGCCCAGCTTGTCCCCTGGAGTGTGTGAGGGGCTGTCTGTGTCTCCTGACACGGGCCTTGGGCCAGCATCAGCCCAGAGTGGGACATTATGTCCAGTGGTGCCCAGTGCACTTAGGGCGGGACCCAGTGGGGCACAGGAGCCCCTGCTCACCCACTGGCCCGGGGTGGGGTATATGCATCAGGACCCACTCTGTACCCTGCCTTCTGGAGCCATGGGTCTGAGCGGCACCCCTAGTTCTGGCTGCCCCATCCACAGGTGAGGTCCAGACCAAAACCCCTCAGTCCCATGAGACTTGCCCTGGCCAAGCCTCTTAGCCCAGTTCCAACTGGACCCTCCTCACCCACCAGCCGGCTCAGGAGTCTTGACACCAGCCAGATGCTGGCCTTGGGCCAAGTCCCTGCTTTCTCTTTGGGCTGTTGCTTGGTGTCCCTGCTCCGTGGGGACCAGAGGGTCAGGCCACGCGTGGGGGGCCCAGCGGGCAAGAGTCCAGCTCTGAGTTTGGGGGAGCTGCACAGGAGCGGTTGTGCTCCGCCTCTCCTAGCCCCTCAGAAGTGCCTTACCTGTGACCCTGAGAAGTGCCCTTGAGTAATGGGTTCACCTGAGCCCCCCGACAAGGCCATCTCCCCTAGCCTGGGGTCCTGCCTCACCAAAGAAATAAAGACTCCACTTTGGAGTGTCCAAGCCTTGGTTTGCCCCTCTCTCTCTCTCTCTCTCTCTCTCTCTCTCTCAGCCTCTGTGCTGCCCCCCTTTGGTAGTGGGTCACCAGCCAGGGGCCTGGGGTGTTAGGGTGGTGAGTGGGGAGAGACCCCTTCTGTCTCTGGGCCTCAGTGTCCACCTCTGGGCAGTGGGCAGCAGCTGGGGAGACAGCTGAGGACAGTAATGTGCAGAGCTGGGGGCGTGCAGGGAGAAAGCCTTTCTAGAGCAGGAGAAGGAAGAGGGGATCAAGATGGCTTAGGGCACCCCCAGGAATCCCCCTGAAGGTACCCCCAGGAGGCCTGGCCTAGAAGGGTTGGGGATGTGATAATAGCAGTAATACAATTAATGATGATGCGACAACAATAACACCAGCTGGGCCTTACCCAAACCTTGTGACAAGCCAGGCACCGTTTGTTGGAAGCACTTTTCGGAGAATGAGAACAGACTGCACGTGGAGCCAGGCCAGCCTGAGACCCCACCCTCTCCGGCCTTGGCTTCCCCACCTATGCGTGGGTGTGGTTAGCTGGAGGCTGAAGGAGTGCCACGTGGGGGGCACTGTGTGGGCAAAGGCCAGGAGGCTGCCCCGGCTGTGGGTTGGGGGTGGGTCAGTGCAGGGAGGGTGGTGAGGGGCCTGGGTCCTGAAGCAAGCGGCTCATCGTCCCTCAGGGAGGCAGTGGCAAAGCCAGACCCTCAGCCACACCGAGGCACAAGAGAAGCTCGAAAGAACGTGGATGGACCCTGGAGATGAACCATCCTGTCTGGTTATTCAGTTAACATTTTATTTTGTCATTTTGGCCCTCTGGGTTTGGAACTGATGCCCTCTCCTACCCCACCCCCCACCCCATACGTGCCAGGCTTCCCTAGGGCTTGGGGGGGCCCGTGGATGACCTGCCCTGGCCATGGGATTTCCAGGGAAGGAGCTATTTGAATCGTTTGCCATCTCATTTGTATACCCAGTGCTGCTGTGGTTCCGGCGACTCCTGCAGGGACCTGGTGGTCTTGCGCAGGGGGCTGGGCCGGGGCCCTCGAACCACATCCCATATCCAGCTCACGAAGGCAGACACCTGCGTGTACACATCGGGGGTCTTGGGGTCGCCGCACCACAGTCCAGAGAAGGAGACGAGGCCGTGGGCCCGGTTCCTGCACACCAGGGGCCCCCCAGAGTCCGCCTGGGGGTGGAGGGAAAGACAAGTTCAGGTGTCCATCTCTGGGCCTGTTTCCCCAAAGGAGCTTCTATGTGCAAATCTGACCAGGACCCTTCCCTGCCTCGAAACCCTCCCATGGCTTCCTAGTGCTCTTCCAGCAAAAACGGTACCTACAGCCTTCAGGGGCTGTGAGCATCTAGCTCTCACCCACCTGTCTGTCCTCCTTTCCTTTCGTTTTGGCCCCACCCGCCTTCTGGGCTGTTCCTGAAGTAAACCAAGCTTGCTCTAGTCTCTGGGCTTTTCCATATCCTTGAGACCTGTTACTGCCCCCTTTCAACACTGCTGGTATAGACATACAAGTCGGCTGTACTTTGTGCAGTAGGCAACCTGCACAGCTGTACATGGCAGCCCTGAGATGAGTCTCTGCCTGGCATGCCTTCCCTCAGATCTCCTCAAGACTCCTTCAAATCTCAGCTCAAAAGGTGCTCTCCTCAGAGAAGCCTCCCTGAATACTCACCCTAAAATTCCTACTTTCCAGTCCTATCACCCTAACTAATCTAGAATCAACGCTGACCCTATGAAGTAGGTACTATTAGCGTGGCAGTTTTACAGATGGAGAAAGGTCCAGAGAAGTGAGGTGACTTTTCCAAGGCCACACACCTGGGAAGTGGCACAGTCTGGATTTGGACCCACACAGCTGGACTCTGGAATCTGTGTTTTGAATCACTACACTCTTTGCCTGGAACAAAAAATCCTCCAGGTTGAGTTTCTCCCTCAGCATCAGGGCCAGGGCTGCCATTAGTCCATACAGGGAGCAGAACCTCCTTGATCAAGATGTGTACTGCACCCCTACTGAACACTGCTTATAGATACACAAATCTGTAGCCCTTTGTGCAGTGCATAACCTGCACAGCTGTACATGACAGCCCTGTGACCTTGGAAAATTCTTTGTCCTTCCAGGGTCTCAGGTGAGGTCTCATCTGGTCTCAAAGGTGAGCTGAGACTTAGTTCCCAAGCCTCTGCCCATCTCCAGCCCTCTCTGTGGGCCTCAGTTTCCCCATACCATAGGCAGGCAGGGTGGAGACAAGTATCTTACTGAGCAGAAGCCACGCCGCCGGCGGTCCCCACTTTGGGTGCAGAGCATGCCAGGGCTCAGCTGGCCCCTCCAAGAGCTGTTGCAGATGTCCAGGCCCAGCACGCGGACCTCAGCCTCCATCAGCCCGGGGGGCAGGTCCTCAAAGTCAGATATGGAGCCCCAGCCAGCCACCTGGCACCGCGCCCCAGCCTTGAGTGGCCTGGCACCTCTCTGCGGCAGCTTCAGCAGCCCCACTGCAGGACCCAGGACAGCAGAGCGGTTCAGCTGCAGAGAGACTGCTGAGTTAAGGTTTACCCCCTGATCTCCTGCCTCGGTTTACCCATCATGACACCTGGTCTCTTCTTGGCCTCATGGAGAGAAATCAGTAGCAGCCAAGAGGCCATCAGGAGGCCCTGCCCATCAGGCCTCACCCCCTCAGACCACGGCTCTGGCCTCCCCTGCTGCCAGAAATAAGTGTCCTTCTAACCAGCATCTCCCCTGCTTGTAAGCCCTCCCATGTCTCCCCGTTGTGCTTGGGACGATACCGCTTTGCCCCACCATTCAGCCCTCCCCTCCAGGCAGAATGAACTTACTGTCATTCCCTGGTCCCCCACCCCTTCAGACTGGAATACCTTTCCTATCCAGCCTTCAGGTCTCAGCTTAGATTTCGCCTCCTCCGGGGAGGCTTCCTAGACTCCCAGGGTAGGACAGAGCCTCCTCGGGGCTTCCATGTGCCCCTGTCAGGGCCAGTTTACTCAGCTGCCATCCTGTTGGACTGGAGGCTCTAAGGGGACCAGCCCTGGGGCTGTTTGTTCATGGCTATCTCCCCAGTGCCCAGCACACAGCTGGTGCTCAATCAATGTTTATGGAATGAATGACTCAGGCCCCAGGTTTTGGTATTCACTCACTCCTTGTGGCCTTGGCCCTGCCCCGACCATACCCCAGCCTTCGTTTCCCCCGCTGCATAATGGGATGGGTGAGCTGTGGCTTCCAGGTTTTGGGGTTTCACAGATGAGCAAAATCCACATGTGAGCTTTGGCCACTGACACTTGCTGCACCCTTCTAATTTTGCCGAGAGAATATGGCACCCCAAGCCCTCCTGTTCCCAGGGACCTGTTTCTGTCATGTGGAATGTCCCTCTGTTTTGGACATCCCCCTTTTCTCCACATTTGGAGGGCAGGTTTGAGGTGTTTTCTCGTTAAAACGGAGGTCCTGAGATGCATGGAATTGAATTTGGGGCACCTGAGTGGGAGATGTGGGGGGTTGCCCCCAAGCAGGAGGGGGCCATGGGGGGTCCGAATGGATGCACCCTGTGTGAGCAGGGAGGGAAACTCACATTTATGGGAAGAGCTGCTTCCTGCCCAGAAACCCCACAAAGGGCCTGGGGAGCAGGGACTGGAGTATCTGATGCCCTAGGGTCTCATTTGTTCTGAACATCGAGGCCTGCTGTGGGCCATAAATGGCCACAGGAGATAAAAATCCCTGTCCTCGGGCGCCTGGGTGGCTCAGTCGTTAAGCGTCTGCCTTCGGCTCAGGTCATGATCCCGGGGTCCTGGGATCGAGCCCCGCGTCGGGCTCCCTGCTCTGCGGGAAGCCTGCTTCTCCCTCTCCCACTCCCCCTGCTTGTGTTCCTGCTCTCGCTATCTCTCTCTCTGTCAAATAAATAAAAAAATCTTAAAAAAAAAAAAAAAATCCCTGTCCTCCCAGTGTGGAGAGGAAGCAGTGAACAATGGTAAAGAAGCAGATGTTTTCAGTGGTGCTGGACCCAGGATAGGTGGACCAGAGGGAAGGGATGGGGAGATGGCGGGGGGTGGGGCAGCTTGCAGAGGGGGCCTCCTGAGAAGGGAACATTTGAGCGAAGACTTGAGAGAGTTGAGGGAGGGAGAAAGCCGGGTGGTGTCTGTGGGAGTGTGTCCTGGAGCGAGCCACAGCCAGTGCAAAGGCCCAGGGGTTCGAGCATGCCGGAACGCTAACGGCTCAGTTGGCCCTGAGTCGGGGGCTGAGGGGAGAGCGTGGGAGGCACGGAGGGCAGAGGAGAGACGTGACCTGACTTGGGTGCTCACGGGACCCTTCCAGCTGCTTTTCGAACATGTCAGTCAGGCCGTCATGGGGTGGCCCGGACAGGCCAGACCTGCCTGCATCCAGTGTCCCCCCCGCCCCCAGCTCACCTTCAGCAGACAGATGTCATTGGCGTGGGTGGCGGGCTGGTAGTCCGGGTGCCTGATGAGAGCCGAGATGCCAAACACCTGCTGTGTCAGCTCTGGAGCGTGCAGGATGTGAGCCCCCAGCACCACCAGGCCCGTTCGGGGGTCCCTGCGGGGGGAGGGGCGCTTGAGAGCGAGACTGGGGCCTCGGTCTCCCCCGTCTGCAGAAAGGGGGTGCGGCAGCCCATGTGATCCTGGCGAGAGCCCCGCGATCATAATCATGTGTATCTGCATTCCCGCTTCAATTACGGGATTTACCCAGATCGTCGGAACATTAATGTTAATCAGTATGATGACAAGGTGCTTCGGGTGGACGTAATACTTGCTATATTTATTATAATTCCCACCTCAGCTATAACCTCCGACACTTTCAATATTAACGTCCGTGGTTCTTTAACAAGGTACTGGGGATGGACGCAGGGCTGCGCTCCTCACGCACCCCCCCCCACCTGCTGTCAGGTGAGCTGCCCCTGCCGAGGACGTGGGGGCTGGAGCAGGCCCCAGCGTGGGCTCACCTGTGGCTGAAGCAGTGGGCCGCGGAGACCACCCAGTGGGCACGGAGCAGGAAGCCTCCACAGTGGTGCTCGCCCTCAAATTTCACAGACACCATGTAAGGACGGGAGTGGGGCGTCACCTCATGGCCCCCAATGATCCGGGCACCCCAGGAGCCTGCGGGCAGGGCGGGACCGCGTCAGGATGGGGCAGGAAGAGGGGTGGTGGGAACGGACGGCTCAGGCACCTGCTGGGGCGGGGGTCGGGTGGGGGCCAGCAGGTCGAGATGGGCTGGAGGTGAGGAGCCCGGGGAAGGTCTCCGAGTGTGTGCTGGGAGGAGTCTGAACCCCAGAAAACCTGGGCCTGGGCCTCCACCCTGGTCCCCGTTCCCAGCGACAGGCGGGGCAACGACCCAGAGGGCTGAGTAGCCGCACGGGTCGGGGGCTCTCACCTGCGGGCCTCGTGGGCAGCGTGAGGACCACGGTCAGCAGCAGGCGACCCAGCTCCCCGGCCCCGGGCCCCATGGCTGTCACAGGCTGGTGGCTCCCTCCAGAGCTCAGCAGGACATGGCCCCCACTCTCACCCAACGGCCCGGGAAGGGGGAACCTGGCTGTGGCCTGTGGTCGGAGGTCGGCCAGGCCCCGCTAGCAACGCCCAGTTCTGCACGGGAGCTTCCGAGAAATCTGATGACTCCCCTGCCACAGGAAGAGTGGGCGGCTCAGGGGCTGCCTGCCTGGGGCAAAGCCCGGCTCTGGGGGGCCCTGTGAACCCAGCAGTCACTTACCCTCTCTGTGCCTCAGTTTACCCAGCATCTGCCCTCGGCACATATGCAGGGAGCTTCCTGCAGTATCCAGTATGCGGGCGACAGGCATAGGGCCCACGGCTGCCTCCTGGGGGTGTAGGTGCCAGCTCTCTGGCTGAACGGGGTCTGGCCCCAGTGCTGCCTGTCCCCCATCTGCAGCCCCAGCACAGACCTCATGGGTGTGAGGACAATAAGATGGGCCCGTGACTGTTGCTGCCTTGGTTGCATTTATTGAGTGCTGATTGTATACCAGCCTCTGGCAGGAGCCAGAGGCGAGAGCGGGACAGTGACACAGCCCCCACCTCATGGTGCTGATGTTCTGCAGGGTCACAGGGTGTAGGTCTGGCGATCTGGGGTCATGGCTGATGCCCAGTTCTGGTGACTAGAGAACATAGAGACGGACAGGGGTCACTCAGGCCCGTGAGGCAGAGGGTTCTGCGGGCTCGGGAGCAGCGTGCAAGCGGCAGGGCCTGGGGGAGCCTCTGGGACATACGTCCCCTTGCAGAGGCTCTGCTGAGACTAAAGCCCTCGCCCTGCCCCACCCATTGGTACCACTCAGCCTGTGCCCGACCCAGGACACAGAGGTGGAGACGTGGGTGTGGGCGTCTGCAGAGCCGGGCTCCCCATCCAGTGTGGAGGACCCGACAGAAGAGGGTGGCTGGGTGTCGGGGGTGGGGAAACTGAGGCACGGGGGCCACTGTCTCCACCTGGAGGATGGGGCTGCAGGGTGCCAGGCTCACCCCGTACATGCCTTGCAGTTCCTGGGGCAGGTGGAGGTGCAGAGCCCGTCTCCCAGAATGGCCCCTTGCCAGGTGCACAGCGGATGTCCGGGCCCAGATGAGCATGGACGCGTGCGGTGGCCTCCACCAGCACTGCCTGGGGGCCATCGCAGCCTGAGGTGCTGCGCCAGCTGGTCACCTGACATAGCAACCCTGGGCGCGCACGGCGGGGGGGTGGGGTGTCCAGCCTGGCGAGGGTGTGGGGCAGGTAGAGAGGAGAGCCGATGGGGCTGGAAGTGGGGAGAGACCCCCGGGGGCAGAGAGGGAGGGAGTGAGGCCGGGATAAGAGCAGAATGGTGGCGCTGAGGAGCAGGCACGCGGCCGCAGCACACTCCAGGCTTTCTGAGGCCCTCTCTGAAGGTGGGCTCGTGCATCCTCCCTCCAAGGTGCCCTTCCCAAGTCCGCCTGCCCGGCCCCCTTCAGGCGCTGGAGGTGGTGGTCGTCCAGCCTGCGTCGTGTCAAAACCCTGCCGAGGGTTCGTGTGTCTGTGTGAACCCCCACGACGGCACCGAGGGTGCTGACGTTCCCGGGTTGGAGGTGTGGGGATGGGGCGCTAAGGCTGGAGCACCCCAGACCTGCAGCCCACTCCCAGCCCCTCTCTTTGGCCCCGGCCACTCACCTGGCCACTTCGCAGTGTGTGGCCGGGAAGATGTCCTCACCAGCAGCAGGGACATCATGAAGGCCCTCAGTGGGCACCACCTCACAGCCCCCCACGACCCCACCTCCCAGGGTCCTACGGGGCAGAGCCATATGAGTGAGGAGCCGCGACCACACCCCCAAATGCCGCCCAGCCTCCCACTTGCCTGGCACGTCCGGTGTGACAGGCCACCACACACCGATTCTCTGACAGTTCTGGGCTCAGAAATACAGAATGGAAGGCTGGTGTCCCCTCCTCCCCCTGGGGCCCCCGGGAGACCCGGCTCCGGCCTTTCCCTGGCCCGCGGCCACCCCCTCCATCCTCACCGCCAGCAAGGCAGGGTCTGCCCATCTCGGACTCCCACCCTCTGCCTCCCTCTTGTAAGGGGCTCGTGAGGACGCCGGCCTCCCCCTGGGAACCCAGGGTCACCCCCTCCTCGGGGGCCCTGACAAGGTCACATCTGCCGCGTGAGGGGACATGTCCCAGGTGCCGGGACCAGGACGGGGAGGTCTTTGGGGCCATATTTGGCCCACCCGAGTTCCATATCTCCTGAGATTGCTGTGTGTCATCATCCCCATTTGACAGATGAGGGTTGAGGCCCAGAGCCTTGAAGGCAGCAGGGCCGGGGTAGACAGGCGGGCTTGGGGGAGCCGGGTTGTAGCCCGGTGAGGCCCACCGATCTGGTAACAAGTGAATGTCATTCGAAGCTCCTGTGTCTGTGGTGACAGGTCAGGGCTGTGGGAGGGGCCGGCACGACCCTGAGAACCTGCGGGGAAGAAACCCCAGGGTCCATGCGGCAGCTCTCCACTCGGGTCGGACCCCGTGAGGCCACCCAGAGCCCAGCTGCCTCAGGCAGGGGATGTTTCTTCGGGGAACCATTTGGGGGCTCTGTCTGCTCTGGGCCACTGGGGCTGTCCCAGGCCACACGCCCTGGGGGGCTGGTGTGAGTGTTCCCCAAGCTTCAGGGGTCCCAGAGCCCCCTGGGGAATCAGCGTTGTTTCTATCCCCGTGACTGATGGAGAAGCTAATACACAGAGAGGGTAAGTGGCTTGGCCAGCGTTGCTGCCTCCGCCAAAGGCTGATTCTGCCCACAGCCAAGCCCATTTCCTTCCCATCTGGCGAACGCTTGTGAAACAAATAACCGTCCCTCCTGGTCTCAAACAACCAAGCTCCCCAAAGCTCCGTGGAATGGGCGGGCGGTCCCCGTTTCCATTTCCCAAACTGAGGCCCAGAGAGGGGAGCCTGACTTGTCTGGGCTGCACAGCAAAGGGTCTGAAACCCAGAGCTTGGGACCTGAGTCCTTGAAGGGTGTTCCCATGGAGGATTTGGGTGGCTTTCCCAGTCGGAGGGGACACAGCCACAAGGATGGTGGTGTTGGCGGCAGTGATGACGATAGGTCCCTCTGCTGAACATTTGCTTTTGTTATTGATTTGTGGGAGCTCTGTATATGTCGAGGAGTTTAACTCAGGGTCAGATGAATTTCTTTTTCTGAGCAACTATCAGGTGCAGAGGACACAGGCTCCCCTCACCTGCAAAGGCTGGGGCTCCCAGGGCCATGACACAGGCCAGGAGGACAGCAGGGGTCACGGCTCCTGGCGTGCGGCTCCATGCCGGGCCTGACCTGCGGTTCGGGGCCATGAAGCTGGGGAGGGGGTGCTCTGGAGCCTCTTGCATCTGGCTCACCCCTTCCTGGCCCCTTTAGGGGGCCTGTGACATTTGAAGTTATGGCACCAAGAGTTCCGGGGGGGCCGGCCCAGGTGGGGGTGCAGGGGGCCCAGTGGGAGCCCGTCTCAGCGGGCTCACCCCACCCCTGCGTGTAAAGAAGATAACAGCAAGAACCACGATTGTCATCACTGCTGACGCTCGGTTCCCTCACCCTGACACACGTCACCTCCTGTTCTGACCCACAACCCAGGGCTATTGTCACCTCCACCCAACAAATGGAGAAACTGAGGCACAGCGGAGCACAGTGACTGCCCTGGGTCACTCCTGGAGCCCTGCAGGCTCCCACAGAGTAACCACCGGGAGCTGGGCCCCAGGGCCACGAGATAAACAGCTGCTGCTGCAGGAACGGCAGCTCCAGGGTATTTATCCGGGTCCCCTCGGACCCAGCCCTGAGGGGGGTGTACATCTGCGTTCATCACCCAGCCCAGAGCCGGTATGCAGTCGGCGTTCAGTCGGTGCCCAGCCCCGTACCACAGCCAGAGTGGCAGGAGAGGTGGGGGAGTGCCCAGGAGAGGTGGGGGAGTGTATCAGGAGCCGCCGGGCATTGGAGAAAAGCTCCAAAGCTTCCCGGAACACCGCAGCTACGGCGTTGGAGCCCAGGGACCCCGCTGCCCGGGCCTGTGACCTGGCCCTTGAGAGCCTCGGTCGCTCAGCCGCTCAGCGGAAGCAGGGCCCGTAGCGCGCTGAGGCCCAGGCTCAGGAGATGCTTAGGACAGGCTCCGGCCTCGGCAGCATCCCTCGTTTCGTTTAACCCACACACTTTATTTCTCTCACATAATTTAATGAGCCTTCCAGGGAAATCACTTCTCATTTCTTGAAGCGGGCGACGGGCTGCCTCAGGAGTAAACGCAGCCCCCCAGCCCCCAGTGACGTCCTGTATCCCATGAGCGCCTCTCCGGACTCCGGGCCCTGGTGAGTGTGGGGCTGCCGTGCACCTGTCTGCCTCTCATAGGCTCTCCTGGCCCCGCACCCAGAGGCCTGGCAGAGAGCTGAGGAAGGCGTGTGCAGCAGTGAGTACCACGCACACGGGAACCAGTGGGTAAACTGAGGCTGGGGGCCCAGAGCCCCACCACCTCTTCCCCCCTTGTCTGCCCTCACGGCTCCAGGTTTCCTCCTGGGGAGGGCCTTGGGGGAAGCAGTATGGCCACTCCTGGGGTCCCCAGAGCCACCCCCACATCTGGGGGACAGGTGACTCTGGGGGCATCTCTGGGAGCATCAGAGAGGGGTCGGCAAGGGGCTGGGTGTTCGGGGATCCCCTTGCAGCGTCCCCATGTGCCCATCTGCACACGGCACTGGCGCCGTCCTCCCCGCGGGGGAGGTCAAAGTGGACCCTGGGAGATAGGAAACCACTCATCCCGTGGGTGTTCATTGAGCACCCGCTGTGTGTGCTGGGAATGCAGACAAGTCCGTGCCCCCGGGGACCAGGTAGATGACATCATCTGCCCAAAGTATTAAGTGGTACAAGGGTGGCCAGAGAAGGACAGGGAAGGGGATAGGGCTTTAAAACAGGGAAACGGAGGAGACCCAGTAACAGTGGGCAAGCCAGGAAGGTGCTCCTGGAGGCGGGCACGGCGTGTGCTG